GAGAGAGAGAGAGAGAGAGAGAGAGAGAGAAAGTAAGAAAACAGGAGTGGCAGATGGCGTAATGGTTACATCATTGGACATCCATATAGTCAACTGTGGTTCATCTCCTAGACTCGGTGGCTTAAGACTCTTGCCAGGCACACGTGTGTGTACCCAAAATCCTGAGAGGAGAATGAAGGAGAAGGGTTTGTGGCATGGCCATCCCCGCTGGTGGGGCGATTTCTCTCTTTCTGTCTCTCTGTCTCTCTGGCAAGTGCATGCTCCCTATAGCAAAGATCTCTTAAAAAATGAAGAAGAAAGAAAGCACTCCATCACTGGGGCATGATTATACTGCAATACCTTCTCCTCCATCTCTCCCTTATTCTGGGATTTTGGACACATACACACACACTCACACACATGCCTTGCTTGTTTCTTAGCTGCTAGGTTTGAGACTTGAATCACACAGTCAGTCATGTGGAATCCAGCCATCTCAGCCACCATTCCACATGCCACCAGTTACGTTTTTCTTTTCTTTTCTTTGATTTTTTTCCTTTCTTTTTCTTTAGTTGTCTCTTTTCCTTTTCTCTCCTTCTCTCTTTCTTTTTTCCTTGCCCTTTCTTCAATGTCACTACTAGTGATAGTTGTTATACAATAACTCTTGTGCAATTAAGTTGACTTTAATCTTATACTGGGAGTACCATCCTACTCTCTTGCCTCTTTTATATCTTGAAAACTGGGTAGCTGGGGTGTAATGGTTAAGGTGCTGGACTCTCACATGGCTGACTATGGTTTGAGTTCCAGACCTGGCTTTCTCCCTTTCTCTCTCTCTCTCTCTCTCTCTCTCTGTGTGTGTGTATGTGTCTTTCTCTAGTGAGTGCATGTGCCCTGTAGTAAATTCAAAAATAATAATAATGATAATTAAAATTTAATAAATGATACTTAAAAAAAATGACTAGCAGCCAGGGGAGGAAATGCTACATCTAGCCTACCTTATCTGACATACCTTTGTTCTGAATCTGTTTACAAACTTACTACAGAGGATGTCATGTCTGCCTGTGAACACAGTACTTATCTGAACATTTTGGTATATTTGTTATATTTTTATTTTCTATAGTAATGTGAATGTATTTAAGGTGGAGTTGACAGAGTCGAAATATTTTCTAGTATCATTGTTGTAAGTATAGACTTAGGGGTCAAATTGCCTGGGTTTCAAATCCTACCTTCAGTGTTTCCTAGTTACATGACCTTGACCAAGTAAATTAATTGCTCTGGGCCTCATCTGTATATATAACCACATTAAAACCTACCGTATAGGGTAGGTTTATGAGACTCAAATTATGAGAATCAAATGAGTTGATGTATGTGCATATGTGTATGTATACATGAATATATTTATATATGTATGTTTGAACTCATATGCATATATGTACACACACACACATATATATGGCATATAAAATTGGCGCATAGAGTGCATCTCATAAATATCAGCAATCACTATTGTATCTAATTTTCTCAATATAGTTATAAATGCTGCTCCAGCCTGTCAAAAAATATTACATCCATTTCTTGTGTTTTACTCAGCACCAAGTTATATATGGCTAGTTGAATGACATAAAAATTGGTAGCGGTTAAATGATCAGTTCACTGTGTAAAATTCAAGCCATGAATTACACGGTTGCCTCTCAATTGTAAAAATTGGTTTAATTTTCCAATATGTGTAGTTGTGATGGATCATTACAGACCTTTTTTTCCTGTAGTTTTTATGGTTTAAAGATTGAAATTTTAAAACCAGCTTTTCAGTTGACCAACGATTAGCTAATTTCTGATAATAGAAAAGGAAACAGATTGCCCCAAGGCTGCTGTTTTCATTTCCTCATGAGAAGAAGAAGTATAACATAGAAGAAAGGCAGACACAATACATTGGCTTCTGTCACCATGGGGAACTGGGCTGTGAATGAAGGGCTCTCCATCTTTGTCGTTGTAAGTACCAATAAGAGGTAAATTATGAATTCTCTGACTTGTTTAAGTTCTCTTAGGAACTAAAACAGAATAAAGTCTTTTTTAGTTGTTTGAGAAATTACGTTGAAACTGATTTACTGTGTAACCATACACCTATCTATAGCAGCCTGAGTTCATTCTTCTAAATTCCTTAATGAAAAGAATGTTATTTGGTGGGCTCACTTCTTCTAGTTTATTTCTAAGTTCTAAGAGTATGAAATTAGCTAGCATTTTACAGAGGCAGTAGAAGACATTTCATGCAAATGATCCTTATTTTTAATGTTTGCTCACAGGCATTTTCTCTAAGTTTTATGTGTTTATACTCTGTAAACATGGCCAACTGAAATTTTATATCATTTTTCAAATAATATGTATAAGACTTAGTCATATATGGGAAATTGCCCCTTAGTTCAGTAATTACATCAAAAATAATTGAAGTTCTCAAATTTCTTTTTTAAAAACAAGTACCTTCTTTTCTGATGTCAAAACTTAAATTATTTGTAAGTTTTATAAAAATTCAAGAGAAGGGAACTGAAATAAGTTATCTAGAATCATATATATGTATGTGTGTGTATATATATATGTCACACGTATATAGTTATATGTTATGTGTGTATATATATATAGCAATATAATCTATCTAGAGAAAAAATTTTAAGTAAAGATGGAATGTTTTTCAAATCCACATATTGATTTATTTGCTTTTTAACATAAATATATGATCAACTATTCTCAAAGTGGTGAGCTCAGCAAAGTGATCATGAACAAACTGAATAGAAACGTGATTTCTAAATAGCCTTCCAAATAGCCAATAAAAGCATTATACAGATGTTTACAAGGACACTTTGCGATGTAAGGATGTTTAAAAGGACACTTTGCGATGTAACTTTTGTAAGAATTTATATAAAATATAATTGACTGTATTTTAGAGCTAGAAATAAATTGGTGGCACTAATAAAATAAAACAACAAGTATTATTAAAAACCTATTTTATAGCAAATCAACATTCTAATGCAATATAGAATTCTTCTAAGGATTTGAAGATGTGAACTTGATTTCTTACCACCAATTTTTAGTGCAGATTACTCCTTTGAAAAACACGTTCAAATTATACCTTTAGCTCCCACTACAATTTTCCCCAGGAAATGCCCTCCTTTTAAATTATACCCTTATATACTTAAAAGTGAAAACACAGCTTGGAAAGCCAGAGTAGAAAAGAATGACAAATTCAGGAAAGGGAGTCGTCGTTGCTTTAGCTTCTTCTTTGTACAGAGAGATTGTTCTCAAGCATCTAATAGACATACAATTACTTTGAAGCACAGTTGAGAAAAGATCACTGGGAAGCTGAAGGTAGACTGGGCAGTATCTCCACTTGATGAAGTCAGTGTTTGAGATGAAAGGAACAGTCGCTATCTAGAAAGCTCCCTTTGTCTTTCAATTCCATGCCCCTCACCCACCCCCTCACTCATGCTTAATATCCTCACCTACAAAAGTTAAGTAAAATTTACTAAGTAGAATAGAAGGCTTGGCATTTTAGCTGAAAAGATTCTCACTAGCTGGGGTGGGCTACTGTGTGGTGGAGGCAGGTGACTGGCTCCTGTGAGAAGAGAGCACAATGTCCTACTGCTGGGGGACAGCAATAGAAACATATCCTTCCCTTTTTGTTTTAGGAAGAGTTACCTGCTATCATCTACCTATTTAAGGTTAAGAGGAGGAAAAAGAAAGGAGAGGAGACAGACTGATAATAAATTGGTATACTAACCAAGCAGCTGAACAATCATGGGAACAACAGAGTGGAAAGGTTGATTACAGAAAAGTATAGTGACACTGTTTTAGGAAAGAACTGGTTCTAAGCTGGCTAAACCCAGCATTGTAACCACCTCAGGGAAGTCTTGGCCCTAATCTGAATCCAGTCTTGTGTGACATCTACATTTTGAAACAGAAAAACTTCACATAACTATTTCTGTTTGTGCAGCTGGCATGGCTGGGGATGAACGTCTTCCTCTTTATCCACTACTACAAGGTTTATGATGATGGCCCTCAGTTCTTTTATACTCGAAGACTTCTTGGGGTAAGTCTAAGTTTCATTACATGCTGTACTGGCTGGCTCACATTCCTAAGCAAATATTCTTGTCCATATTCCCTTTAACATTTTAAATAAATATTCTAAGACTAGCAGGCAGCATGGAGGTTACGGCCACTAAATGGCTACGTGGCTGACTGTGCAGTTTGAGTCTCAGACCTGGGGGCTTGAAAAAACACACCAGACACTTGCCTGTAAGCCCCAAATCCTGAGAGAAAAATGGAAGAGAAGGGATTGTAGCATGGACATCCCCCTTGGGAAGTGATTTTTCTCTCTCTCTATCTCTTTCTCTGGTGTATGCACATACTCTATAGCAAACTTTATATGTGTGTGTGTGTGTGTCTGTGTGTGTGTCTGTGTGTCTGTGTCTGTGTATTCAGACTAACCCAAATGAGACTGTCAGCTGCATTACATCAATTGCACCTACCTGAGCAAGAGTCTCTTAAGTCTTCCAGAGTAGGACAAAAAAAAAAAGTGTAACAGGACCAGCCATGGTAATGCAAGTGGAACTACATGAGGCTGGGACCACATGGGAGACTTGGGTCCAGTTCCTAGCCCAAGCTAAACAGGCTGAGTGTGGGAGTGCATGCCTGTAGTTCTAAATAACTTGACATCTTAGACAGGGAAAGCATGACATGGCAAGAGCCTGTCAAAAATACCCACGCTACCCCCCATCCTTTTCTCTTTCTAATAAAAAAGTGTCTGGTAGGGACCAGCAGTTGGCTTAATGGCTATGTCGCTGGACTCCCATGTAGCCGACCGTGGTTTGAGTTCTGGACCAGGTGGCTTAAACTCACACCGGGCGCGTGTGCATGCGTGCCCAAGATCCCGAGAGGAGAAGGAGGAGAAAAGATTGTGGTGTGGCCATCCCCCCTGGGGGTGATGGGGTGATTTCTCATTTTCTGTCTCTCTGTCTCTCTCTGTCTTTCTGTAGAGCACACACACCCTATAGCAAAAACCTCCCCCACCCCGCAAAAAAAAAGTCTGGTAAAGGGTCCCAAATAGCATTCCTCTTCTCTTAAGAACAATATGCTGCTATTTAGCCTAAAGGAGAACTATAATACTGATTCTGGGATGGAAGGCCAGTTTAGACTAATTTCCATATTTTCCACATTTTGTAAGTCATCTGATTGGTACTATTTTCGTACATGAAGAACCCTGCTCCTGGTGACATTGTATAAAATGATCTTCAGAAAATCAGCCTCTCTCTACAGTTAGAGACTTTAAGGAACTTGCTCAAGGGCCACACCCATTGACTAGGCCCTTACATTTCCTTGGGTTCTTTAGCATTCTTAGTTTCCTTGAAATGTCAGGCTTCTCCTTCATTATAACTGAAAATAATTACAATTGTAAATGTCCCCAGAGAACATCATTTGTTACATTATAACAAAACTATAACTTATTTAATATTAATTTTAATATGGATTGTAATTGATATGTATAATTATAACATATAATTTATACTATACTATTATAATTGTTAATATATACTGATGCTTTCCCTCTCCAGAATATGCAACTTCTTTAGACATTATAAAGATAATAATTATAATGTCCAAACATTACATCATACCAACTTAAGTTACTGTTAAAGTCAGTCTAAAACCTTTAAAGTCTTAAAAACTTCCAGTTTAGATATTGAACTAATGACATGCATGCATTAAATACTTAGGGAGAAATGAAATGATGTCTCCAACTTTCTTTGAAATGTATAAAAAAATAAGATAGGTTGATGGATGAATAGAGAGATGGAGGGATGATAAATCGATAGGTGATAAAACAAGCTTAGTAAAAATTTTTTTGAGAGGTTTTTGCTATAGGGCACATGTGCTCGCCAGAAAGACAGAGAGAGACAGAGAGACAGAAAGCACACACATGCCCGACATGACTGAAACCATGGTTGACTACATGGAGTCCAGCGACATAGCCATTACACCAATTGCTGGTCCCTATTTTTTTGTGGGTGTGCAAGCTTCGTAACATTTAAAAGATGCAGTCTGGGAGATGGGTAAACAGGTTTTCATTGTAAATTTCTTTTAACTTTTTTTTATGTTTGAAAATGTTCATAATCCAATTTTGGGTTGGAGTAAAAGGCCTGGCAGGCCCCAAAGGAAAGCCATAGGTTCTGAAGACGTTCCTGTCCAGATCACTTGGTGTCTCTTGTGTGGCCTCTTGCTGAAAACCCCAAAGAAGTGGGGGCGGGCCCACTCTGTGCTCACAGGATCACTCTACTCTTTGTTTTGTCTCCTCTAGTCAGCTCTGGCATTGGCCAGGGCCCCTGCAGCCTGCCTGAATTTCAACTGCATGCTGATCCTACTGCCAGTTTGTCGAAATCTGCTCTCCTTCCTCAGAGGTTCCAGTGCGGTAAGAATAAATGCTCTACTGAGGTCCTCAAATTTTCAAAGACCATCAAGCCAAATGCCCATCCTTAGGAAGAACAAACAAATGATCTGTGAGATTCTGGCTTATGCAGAATATTCACAAGTCAAGCTGTTCTCTATTCTCTAGTTTATTTCCATACTATATTTATGGGCAGAGCCCTCTAGGACAATCATTTCAGCAAGAAAAGAAATGTAAAGGAAACAACCAAGTGTAGCTCAACAATAGTATTTATCCTGAAAAAGAAATGCAAAATAGCAGTAAGCAGGCACATGTGTGCCTGCACACACATGTGGTATGTATGTATATAAGTAAGGCTTTATGAAATTGAAATATGGGAATTAATCTTTCAATATCATTCAAAATCATTTATGTCAGAGAACATACCTTTTGTAGATAATGTCCCAAGCATATGGAATCAACAAATAGTCACACTAATGAATGTTTCTAAAATGTGTTGACTCCATGGAATTAGGGAGCTTTCTACATTCTTGGGCTTCCTTTCACCCACACTTTAACAATCTGGTGAGCCTCTAAGTGTACTGTGGTAGAAAGGAAAGAAAAGATTAAGAAAGAAGAAACCTTGTAGCCTATAAAATGGTATGCAAACTTCTCATTGGTATTATTGTATAAAGATGAGAAATGAGGGACTTAATGTACACACATACTCAAATAAATATGATACAAAGCAAAATATGATGAATCACATAGAGTATTACAAATAAGGAATGATGGGGCATCAATGGAGAGAGAAAGTATATCAGGTGGTGCAGGGAAAGACGATGGGCTTCTTAGAGAAGGTGGCATTAGAGATGGGGTTATAAGGATAAATGAACAGCTAAGAGGTGTAAATGAGAGAGAAGACATCCCACGTTGCATGGGCAACAGCATAAAAAATGGTGAGGAAATTATATTCTTTAAAGCCAGGTATCAGCATGACTTTGGCTTTTCTTTGGACTTTTTATTTATTTATTTATTTTCTATTTCTGACTAAACCAAAGAAAATAGCTAGGGGAAAAGTTAGGGATTGGTGCCCTGGTGGGAACAACTCCACTGGCCCATTAGTGACTAGTAGCCTCTATTTTTCTTTTTAATAAAATGTATATATGCATTTTTATTTAAAAAGCTTTTTTAAAAATTGCCTATTCAGTAGAGATCATTTATGAAGGGAAGCAACAAGCAAACTACTTTTACGGGAATATAGGATTGCATAGGGCAGGTGTCTGAGATAGAGCCTAAGAAGAGAACTTGGAATTTTGCTGGTTAGCTACAGTCTAAACGTGTAGCTGGTGAGTTAATACTTAATCTGGCAGTCACAGAATATTTGGGAGGAGGAAAGTGAATTGAACTGTCAGTAACAAATATAACTTGCCTTGAATTTTGTCTTATTGTTCCCTAAATTCACATTGTTACAAATAATTTTTTTGAGAGGTTTATGCTATAGGGCACATGTGCTCTCCAGAAAGAGAGACAGAGAGACAGAAAGCAAGAAATTACTCCCCAGGGGGGTGGCCACGCCTCAATCCTTTCTCCTCCGTTCTCCTCTCGGGATCTTGGGCACGCACGCACACACGCCCGGTGTGAGTTTTAAGTCACTGGGTCCGGGACTCGAACCGCATGGTGTTAACCACATGGGAGTCCAGCAACATAGCCATTATGCCAAGTGCTGGTCCTATGCAAAGAATTTTCTTTTAAGAACATACGACCCTTAGTTTAATAACACAGGATTAGTGGGCTACAATTAAGCTCTTAACTGACTTAACTCTTTACAAAATGTGATTTCATCTTAAACCATCTGTCAGAATTGGATTCCTACCAGTCTATGTTTAAAGTAAAAGTTCGCAGAAATAACACCTTCACTTCATCAGAAAAAAATAAAATGAAAAAAAATCTTGGCAAACATTTTAAGATACTCCAGAAAAAGTCATGATTTTTTTCTTCTGAGAAATATTGTGATGAGATTCCTTTCCTTAAGCAATAAACTCAAAAAAACCCACAATGTTGTCTTGTCAACTCACACCCTAACGAAACCAAAATCTAACAACAACACTTAGTATTACACATTGATTACAAGGATTTTCTTCTCAACTTAAGAAACTACAGAGGTAAAATTCCACTTGGTTGAAGATTTTATTGATGAGTCCCCTACTATAAAATCTGATGTTCCATACACCATAGGTGCCTAATGAATGTTTGCTAAATGAAGCTTGTGCATTGTAGCTTTTTGTTTTTAAGGAGACACAATTCTTTTTATTCTCCTATCCCCATTTGAATATTTTTTTCTGTTTAGAGGAAGTAAAGGCTGAGAACCAGCAGTTTTTTTTTTTTTTTTAACCAGGATGGCCCATTAAGAAATCCTTGTTACCCCACACACACCCAAATTGCACTGCCGTTGAGTTGCCATGTCCCATGAGCAGCGCATGTTGTAATGGTAGCTTTTAGGTTTCCTGTGGCCTGTGAGGGAAGATCATCATGAGGGTCTCCAAAGACAGAATGAAATAAGGCTGCTCTTCAAATGGAAAGGAAGATCATCTCTGTAATCAGACAGATCTTTATGTTGGAAATATCTTTTAAAAAAATCTTAACTTCTTACTATTTTTAATTTGCTACAGGGCACATGTGCTCACCGGAGAGAGTCACAGAGAGAGAGAGAGAGAGGGAAAGTGAGAAAACAAGCCACCAAGTCAGTATTCCAACCTCATTCAGCCATGTGGGAGTCCAGTGCCTTAACCACCACACCACCTGCTGGTCCCTGAAAATATCTTTTTTAAAACGAGCAGCAAGTCAACATTCTTATATAGACAGGGCATGTCCTTCCTTCCTAAAATGTGAACTTTGCAAATGATACTTGTTTTCCAATGTGGATTCAAATCAGTGAATGTGCCATGACTAATACTGGAAATCATAATGACTGACACTCATTGAAGCTTCATAGAACTCACCTCATGAAATCTGCACATCAAGTCTATGAGATGGAAACAAAATTAAATGGGTATTAAGATTCAAACCCAGGCCTTTGTGCCCCCAGAACCCATTCATTTTCCTATGTGCCCCCTACACTTCCTGAAACTGTCCCGTTTCAGTATTATGTCCTTAGAAATCCATTATATATCTGAGTGTTTGAGCATGCCGAATAACCTAGTTTAGAAATGAGAAGGATATTGTAACTCCAAAAGCATGTTAGTGAGGCATTGTGGAAACTTAACAGCCACAGAACTTCTGTTCAGAGGTCTTAATCGTACAGACTTTGCTTTGTAGTCCTTTTGGTTACCCAGAAGAAAGCAAGTCCCAGGGTTGCCAAACCCTCTGTCCCTCAGGAAAGGTAAGGATAAAGGTTCTCAGCTTGCTTTACTAAAGGAAATGAGGGAAAAGGTGGGATTTACCATACGAAAGTCCCTGAGGGTGATTTAATAACCCCAATTTGCCATGCAGAAACTAATTTGTAACTGGAAGACAGTCTTAATCTGAAAATCAGAAAGAAACAGGAAGGTGAGAAGGTGAAGTCTTACCTGTTACCTTATATAGTCTGGGAGTCAGAAGCCCTCAACATAGCTGTGTCTATAACTACGTGGCCTTGTGCAAGTCTCTTGGGCTTTATGGTTCATAGGTATTTTTTTAGCTGAAAAACAAGTCAAATAATGCAAATATAAGATTGAATATGCTGGTGGTGTGATGGTTAAGGTACTGGACTCCCACATGGCCAACTGCAGCTCAAATACTGGAGTTGGTGGCTTGCTCTCTCTCTCTCTCTCTCTCTCTCTCTCTCTTTCTCTCTCTCCAGTCAAATTAAATAATAATAAATAAAATTTTAAAAGATTTACTATGCCACTCTAAAAGTATATTAATTAAGTCTGTCAACTAGTGAGCTGTCAATCAGCAAGTTTTTTTTGAGTGCTGTCTATTTGTTAAACACTGGGGACTCATGGTGAGTAAAGAGTTAAGATATGGATGGGCCATGAATTAAAGAAGTTAGAGACTTATGGAGGAGATAGCAAATAAATATGTGATTTTAATATTTTAAACAGTGCTATGCAACTAAAGAGGTGTTCTTATTTATCGCACATTCTACCACCACCAGGTATGGACATTACTGTCAGTTTCTTGATCTACTTCTATAGAGTCAAAGCTGGCCTTTGCAGTCTCTCCAAAATTGCATATTATTACTGAAGTTAGGTAAATTAATGATGCATGTGGTGAGACCAAGAGTACATAAAATAGAACTTTTAAGTTTCTGAAACATTTTAGAAACTCATGTTACACTCCATTAAATATGCATTTATTTTTAGATCCACTTCTCTTTTTTTTTTTGAAAAAAAAATTATTTTTCACTCAACAGTTTCAATAGAGCGTAGAAATCTACCAAGGTGACTCAACAATCTCCAATGCATTAGAATAGTTGGTTGTTGAAATGGGGTAAGGCCCTAGGTGACTGTAACAGAGAAACTTCCCTTTAGAAGTCAAAAGCAGAAAGCAAAGAGGTAGTTAAATGACAAAGCTACAGGACATAATGGTGGCATGGGCAAGTGGCTGTCAGTAATTCAGATATGACTCAAAGCAAATCAATTATATCTGCATAGGGAGGAGGAATGAAACAGTCCTGGGAAGCCACAGGAAGCAAAGACCTTCGTTCTCACCCAACCAACTGGTTAGCTTGCCCCCTTTATAGGAAATGGTGAGATCATATTTTTACAAGCCTAATACCAACATAAATTGGGCTTCTCTTTAAATTTGTTTGCCATTCCTGACCACACCAAACAGGGGAGCTGATAGAAATTAGGGGTTGGAGGCTATGAAAGAAAGATATTATGTGTTTCCATTTAATATATACTGACTCTCCTCACTCTGTGGTAGAGACTGAAAAATTGGCAGATATAAAAGCAGTGAAAGTATTTATGGGTGCTCGAGACAGGATGGGAGAGGGGAAGAGTATAGGGAAGGAAATCAGGGAGAAAATATAGAGAGGCAAGACATTTGTGGGACACAGA